TGATGAATAAGTCATGCAGACCAATCAAACTTAAGATTTTGCAGACAAATCCCACTCCAAACAGCATATAAACCATATACTCATTACATTTGTTCCTGGTATAAAGTTCTTTTTAGTACTATAATATAATATTGTTATTTCACAAAAAGATATAATTTTTGTGAATTACAACATTGTATAAAATTGAATATTATCAATTTCAATTAATAGAAATTTTAAAATATAAATATAATTTATTAAATTTTACTTTTTTTAAAATAATTTAATTTTAAACATTTATTATATCTTTGTTGTACATTAATTTATTTTTAATTAATACTATATTGTACACTTAATTATAAATTTAAAATTATTATTTAAAGGTATATCGTACACTTAAACTATTGCGTTAATGTTTGTATATACTTTATAATAAAATTTAAGTGTACACTTATATAAAGTTTAAAGACAAAGGTTATATATATATATATAGCATTAGTATTTAGGAGTCCTTCTGGAACCTAGGTAATAAAACTAAATAAGGTTAGATTTGCTAAATTAACAATAGTACCACATAAAAAAAGTACTAAGAATACTTATTCAAGTAAGATTGTGGCTTCAAGCCCATGATTTTAAGCATGTTAAATTTATGATATATCTTCAGATTACTGAATTAAAGTCATATTTGTTAGATTAGTAACTTCACTATAAAAGGAGATAAAGCATTAATTACGCTTACTTAGATAAAAACATAGCCTAAACCAATTATTTCAAAAGCACTTAATCTGTATACAATAAAATGAATTGAATATTTTAGTTAATAATAAGCAATAAAAATAAAGCGAAGCATTAATAATACTTAAAATTGTGGCTGTGTATAAGAACTCGAACGTAATATTTACAATATAATAGTAGTGAAATCGAATGATTAATGGATAGAACATAAGATCAAATGCGCTTAATCTGCATAAAATGAATTAAATATTTTAATTAATACTGTAATAAGCCATAAAAATAAGGCAAAGTATTAATAATACTTATCAAAGTTAATATTGTGGCCATGTATGAGAACTCAGATATAATATTCATATGAAAATATTCATTTATTTAATATAACGTTAATTATTTACATACTTGTATAGTCCAAGATGAAAATTTTGTACCGAATATCTGAATTTAATTAAAGTGTCGCTAAAAAAAAACCTAAAAATTTATATATAACTTATATTTAGATTTTTTTTTAGTGACACTCATATTATAATAGTAGTAGAATCAAATAATTATAAAATATAAGAAAAAAATTAAAAAGTTAGATAAATATATAGACTGAGTGCTATAGAAAAGGGGAAAATCAACAAAAAAAAAAGATCTTTAGAAAATTAATTTTTATATTATAAATTTTATAATAAATTATAATTACAAATTTTAAAGAGCTACATCACAAAATTTTCTTAATATAATACTTTTGTATCTTAAGTGAAAAATGATCTTGATCTTATTCTAAATTAATTTATATAAAAAAATTAATTTTAATAAATTTGTTAATTTCTTACTTTCTATATTACCTAGCCTATATTTAGCAAATTAGAATGAAAAAATTTTTCTTGCATATAATGAAGCTTTATAAAATATGCGAATTTTTTCTAATCATATAAATTTTTCAAAACTAATAGGTTACTCCTGTATGTTTATAAAAAGAGTATATTTTTTCTATAACAAAATAAGCTCATATTATTAAGTATGAATTATTAAAAATAAAAATTAGTTCTTAAACATTATACAATTGTAAAAAAAAATTAATAGAAAAATGAGTGATAATAACCTTATCAAATTTTCTAATCTAAGCTTTAGCATAAAAATATGTTCAGATTGTGGTAGCCAAAAAAATAAAGAAGAGTTTTGTCATTTATATAAAGGTAATCCACAATACGAACATGCAATATGTAATCTATGCCATTTCAGATATAAGAATGCGTGAACAAAGGTGGATCCACTAACAAGAAAAAAACAAAAATTGAAGCTAGCTTAAATATGCCAATACAAAGTGTTAATATCACAGTGACTCAGACAAATATCAATTTTAGCAGATCTCTTTCTAACTTCGTAGATCTTGAATTAGATGATAGTGCTTCTCAAGAGCTGTCTTCAGAATTTTTAGAAAAAATTAATGAGAATAATAATATAAACAGACTTCTTTATACTTTAGATGAAGTGCAAGAACTCATTGCTAAGCAGTTTCAAGATATAGAAGATTCGGATGAACTAGTAAAATTAATCTTTGAAATTGAGTTAGATTCAAAGCTTATTGAAAGTGTTTTTTTAAATCAGGAATTTCAATTTGATATACAAGACCCAAAAGCAATTAAAAAAAGTTTTATCAACTTACCAATATACTTCTTTTACTATTTGCATATGGATCAAATTACTATTAGAAAATACGAAATATATACCTTAATACTAGTAAGAAAGAGCTAACTGGTTGAGCTATTATATATCTTGGATGCATACAACATGAAGACAGACAATAGCAGAGGCCTGAAAATATATTAGTGAAGCAAAGAAGTGAAATTTGTCCTCAGATTAATAGAACACATATATAGGAAATATGATATTTACTATTGATCCACAAAAACAACGTGCTATTGTTCAATGCAGCCATCAATTAGCACATGAATATCCACAGTATAGAAAACTGAGTTTCCAGCTGTAGCAAAGGAATGGATCAGAGACAACGTCAAATACAATCTACAAAGCTCTGAATCATACAGGCGTTTTCAACAGTATGGGCTTATCGATGCTAAGATACATACAAAAAAACAAGTATATTATTGGATGACAGTTTTTAGTAGGCAGATATATATATTTAATTCAACAAATTAGCTCTTCTCAGCAAAACAATATCTTGAAGAATGACAAGGCTTTAAAATTATTTACTATATAGAAAATAATTTTATAAAAGCTCTTGGCTTTATTATACTATTGTTAGAATACATTAGTATTAAAAATTTAAAAGAAGTTGTTATAAATTCTATCTTCAAAACCAACTAGAAGCAGTTTAAATTATTCATTGTAAATGCTAACCATAGTAGATATAGAATGCCATTAGCGTATCTGTTTTTTTTGATATATGATGGAACAGATAAATCATATAATAATTCAGGAAACACCACTTGTACACATGTACAAGCATTATATAAGTTTTTTAGTAGTCTCCAAAATGAAGAATTGTTGCCAGCCTTTGTCCTACTAAATAAAGATGCAGGTGAAATATCAGCAGTAGAAGAGGCTTGGTTATGGACAGCAAACATACAACTATATTACTGGCATTTAGATCATGTAATCACCTGACATCTAAAAGATAAAAAAACAAATACATCAGATTATTCAAAGGAAAAAACAACTGAAGTCTCCTGTCAGTTTGATTTTATTGATCCTTTCTGAATCCCAGAGAACAAGGTTGGAAGTTTGTATTCTGATGATCAAATCAAAAAAATTGTAAGTATAGTTAAACGGTATGCAAACATGCATTCGTTAATTCTAATAGCAAAAAACACATTTTTGAATTCTATACAAATATATCGATATTGCATGCAAGAAGTATATCAATGTTGTCAGACTAATAATCTTCCAAAGTTGTAGAGTTATTTATGGTTAAACTGGTATAACAAGAAGAACTATAAGTTGTTTGCTCATTTAGCTTATTTACAAGCAATGCCTCTAGCCTGAACAACAATAATTACTGAAAGCCATTGACAAGTAATCAAATATAAATATAAATATACTTATAATAGATCTCGCTTAGATTGGCTTATACAGATTCTTGCTGAGCAATTAATACCGTATGTTTCTGAAAATAAGCTATCCTTTTTTAAACAATTTTGAACACAAAAATCAATAAGTAGCTTATTTTCAGGATCTATGATTTTCAAGGAATTTATA